TCTCTCTCTCTGCTCAAATTAGAAACAAAATAACAATAAAAAAATTAAATAATTACTTTTTTAAAAAAAGGTTTAATCAGAGATTGAGCCACAAAGGTGGAACTTGAAGAACAGGGAAAAACTGTTAGCTGAACAGGAAGAAAGAACATATTCCACAGATATTCCAGATGTACTTATTGTTTTAAAAATAATAATAAATTTCTCAAATTATCAGTAAATTACTAAGTAAAGCTGCATCACCGTTCTTGAGCTACTTTTCTGTATAATTTTTTTTTCTCTTTGAATTTTGCAATTCTTTTGAAGCTCTACATTTGTACAATTTTCTTCCACCCTCTTCTTTAAGCTCTGACTCAGACTTTACCTTGGTTTTGGGAATACCTAAACCTTTGCCAGACAGACACACCTTAGTATTCGCTCAGTATTCCTTTTTTTTTCTTTCTTTTTTAATTTGCTATAAGGCTGCACACACTTAACCTAAAGAGAGAGAGAAAGTGAGAAAGCACCCCTAGGGGATGGCCATGCTACAATTCTCCTTTCTCCTCTCAGAATTTGGACACAGACGCACACACCCTGGGTGTTTTTCAAGCCTCCGGGTCCAGACTCAAACCATGCACTCAGTCATGTGCGGTCCAGTTACTTAATCACATCACCAGCTGGCCCCTCACTTAATATTTTAAGACTTCTGGGAGAAGGCCAGAACCCAGCATCTGAGAAGTTAGAATCAGGGTGGCACAGTGAAAAGGACATGGGCTTTAGAAACCGAAAGATCTGGGCTGAAATCCTACCTTTGCCACTTTCTAGATGTATAACCTTGGGCAAGGAAGGCACTCAGACTCCCTGGACCTCATTTCCTCATCTATACAGGGAGATACATCTATACATCTGCAGCTGTACCTCATGGTATTATTGCCAGGCTTGCAGAACAGCCTATGACAATTCTTGGCAAAGAAAAGGCCAATTAATGGTAACTATTTTAGGTTCCAACTGCCAATTGCCTTACCGAACACTTTTCAAGGCTATACTTTTCTAACTGGCAAAAGGAGTCATACTGCTCCCACATTCCCATGCCCATATCCAAAACATTCCATTTTAGTAATCTATAATTAACCAAATCAAAAGCTTAAACAATTCAGGGCAAGAAAATGCTAACATGGCTCAACTCATTCTCTCCTGACAGCAGCAAAGCCAGTACACGATGAATCTATTTGCCAAAAGAAATAGTCCGTTTGAACGTGGTCGTTACTGATACTAATGTAAGCACACACTAGTTGAGGTTCTGGGGCTTGTAGCTTTACTGTCAGAAAGTTTTAACTTTTCTTCCTTTTTTAAAAAAAATTTTTATTTAACTTTTTAAAATCCATTTATTTATTTATTTCAATTTGACCAGAGAGGGACTGAGAGAGAGGGCATGAAAGAAAGAAAGTGAGAAAGCAACACGCCAGGTCTAGGACTCAAACCACAGTCGGCCATGTGGGAGTCTAGTGCCCTTCACCACCACGCCATCTGCCAGCCCCTTAACTTTTCTTAAATAAATTTTCTCCTGACTCGTTTTCCCTCTAATTACCCAATTTCAAGAAAATAGGGAAGACGTCCTTTCAACGACTCCTACTGCATTCATTGTGGGGCTTATCTTCCCCTTCCACAAACTACTTCTTAACAAAGATTTTTGGTATGCTAGGTTCACTTAACAAGAACTTATGAAGAAGGACATCATATATAAATATACTATGAACACAAGATAAGATCTCACCCCCTGAGCACCACAAGGTACAGGATGGAGGCGGGTGCCAAAGAGAAGAGATGAGGAAGTAACCTGCACACCCTATGCTCATTCTTAGTAACTGCTGCACTTAGGATCCTGGCTCTTGTGAAAGTTGTTTTCCCTTGTGTGGCTGAGCAGAGCAGCAGAACTAAGAAAACTGATGACAGATACATGAATGGAGCACGGGAAACCATCAATGAACATGTGACTTAACATAATTTAGTTTGTACAGGACAGTTACAAACAAAGGCAACCAGTTACATAGTCAAAGGCAGCTAGCCAGTTCAACCCTCGGACCCCCAGTTCCTCCACACGCTATAATAAAAACAGAAGGGAGTCAAGGTCAGAATGATTATTTAAATAGACAATCATGAATAAAAAACAGGTTCCACAAATCGAAATGTCACACTGCAGTCCCTTGGTGAGGTGACTTTGAACTGAGGAAAAGAGGACAGTCACATGCATGTATTTCCATTCAGCTCATTCAATATCAAGACATGTAAGGACTCTGACCACAAAACACAGCTCAGCAATACTTTGGGTTGTGTTATTCAGCTGCATCCTTGCCCAAGGCTTCACCTGTTTAACTTTCAGCTAGAAGTTGTTTTTTTGGTGCAATTAACATTGTAAGGCAAGCTCAGCCCTGTCTTCCATAGCCTTGAGGCTGCTGAGTAAACCTAGAATCATGGAACATATATTTTGATCCTGAAAAAAACAGGAAGAAGGTGGTTCAGTGACAAGAAAAGTAGTGAAGAAGCATATCTAGAATTAAGAAAAAACAGACTATGGTATTCTTCTCCGTGATTTCTTTTTAAACTTCTTTATGCAGCATCTATTGGTTTGTGTGTACCTTTCAATCATGGTGCAAGCACGTAGGCCCTAAGAGAAGGAATAAAGTAAGTTCTTTAAGTTCTTCATACTAATAATAACAGCTTTCATTTGTTAAGATCTCACTGCATGTGCCAAGTTCAATGCTAGCCCTTTACGATATATTTCTGATCCTCCACTGTAATTAATATCCTCATTTTATAAAAGAGGAAACTATGATTTGTACAATTTGGAAATTACCCAAAAGCTAGTAGGTAGGGTACTAAGATTCAAGCCCAGGTCTGCCTGACAGTAAACTTTATGCTTTAAAAGCAATTCGTTAATTACTTGTACCCTCGAGAGATCTAATCAAATTACAAATTTTAGACAAAAAAAAAAAGACTCTTAATCACAGGAAAAAGATTGGACCAAATTTATGAAGCACCTCAAGTAGTCAGCTATATACTTCAGACTTCCAGACTCTATCTAGGTATTAACAGCACTGGCGCCTGCAGATGCTACTATAATTCCTCCCAAAGGAGTTTCATAATACTAACAACAGACACTGCCCTAAAGCATCATTACACAAATTCCTTCAGCGGTGCCTGTGACACCACTTATCACTTATATTCGGGCAGTTAGAATCTGAAAAGGGTTATCTGTTAACCATGAGGGTTATTACAACAAAAAGTTAGGCCGGATCCAAGGTTCCAATTCAGCCGAAACCTGCACAGTAAAACCAAGGCAGGCTTCATATCCCTTTATTCTGGTCTGATAAAGCAAACAGAAATCATTCACAGTTAAAAAATCTATAAATCACTAGGTTCGTATTGTGGAAATATGAGCCATAATCCCTTTTTATGATTGATCCATATCTCTACCTGTCCAGTCTTTGCTTCCCCCCCCCCCGTGTTGATTGGGCTTTGAGAGGGAGAGAGACCATGGATAGCCAATGCACGCATAATACAGGGGTATCATACATCCAGCCACACTTACTCCCTGGTGTTCTGAGGCTTCCTTAAAACTCTGAAAGATGCTGGCAGCTGAGACAGAAAGCCCCACAAAGATCACCTTTTCCCAAAGTAGCAGCATTTTTCCCCAACACTTTCAGATTATAGAAAAAGAATCAATAACACAATCATTCTCGTCACACACCGTTTAATAATCCTAGTGACCGCCTACTGAGCAGGGAGGACAAATCTCTGAAGATAAGAAGTGGACATTGGATGATCCTTCTCCATTCAGAGAAGATGCAAGGATATTGCAGAAGCGGCAAATGAAGGGCACGGCATCAGTGCCGCTCTGTGGCAGTGGCCGGCCACAGAAAGGCAGAAAGTCGTCGTCTGTACAGGAACCACACAACTCAGAATTTCAATGCGAGGCGGCTGCTGCTTTACTCGTTCTCCGTTTAGAAAAGATCCTTCCAGCCTATTGCTGGCTGAACTCCCGTAATCGGTAAGGGTTTCTATATAGTAAGTACTACTGGGGTCTCCCCTATAGTCTGAAAAGCAGCACACGGGAGTGCGTTCGGGATACAGGGGCGTAGTATAGGATGCCTCTCCCTCTGCCTATTCCAACTAGTAGCAGAGCGCGCTACCTCCATGTTACCCACGGCCGTGCCACCTGGAGCCTCGGCTCCCCGGGACTCGGGCCGGCCAGGGGCATCTCAGCGAGTGGGGCAGAAGGGGAAAGGGTCTCCCCGCTCCTGTGATCAGAGGAGAGGGCGTGGAGGGCGTGCCGCCGTGCCCGAGGATCTGCAGTTCTCCTCCCTCCCTTCCTCTCTGCGAGAGGCAGCCCGGCCCCAATACCTTCTTGACTGTGCGCGGCGCCTCGGTGACGGTGCCGTCGGGGCTGACCAGGGCCTCGCCGCCGTCGCGATGCCGCTGGTGCTGGTGATGCGGGTCGCCCCGCTTCATGGCCGACGCCTGAGGCACCTTCCCCGCGGCTGGGCTGAGAGCGGCGGCGGGCCCCGAGCCCGG